ATACAGAGTAAGTTTTTGTTTGACCTTTTTGGTGTTAACAGGTGGCAGGAATAAGTTATGAGTGAAGAAAGTGGTGCGATTGGGGGGATTATTGAGGGAAAAATTGATAAAGTGATTGATATTTTGCAAAATTTTGATAGTTTCTGGGAATATTAATGGTAGGAGGAGGGTTTTGTTGAGAGAGAGAATGCTTTTATGTATGCAAATGAGTAGGAGATTTATAGATGCAAATGAGTTTTGTGATGATTATTATAGTGAATGTTATCGTAGTTGTTGTATTGTATTATTGAATATTACAGTGACATTGTCGTCCACGTACCGAAGAAATTACACAACAAATTCGATCCGGACGAGTTCGTATATGACGGAAATTATGACACGGATAAAATCAAGGAATTCCTCATTCATGAGAGGTATAATTATTATTGTTGATGGTGTTCTTGTTGTTGTTTTGATTACAATATGGTTGTTATTATTTATTGTTTAAATGGTTTTGGGGTTTTGATAATGAATGCTTTGGAAGTGATTAGGAGTAGAGTTATGGGAGTAATTGTTTCAGCTTTGGCATGGCTGGCGTTCGAACACAGGGCAATTTGTTCCAGTTCGACAGAATGCCATTGTTTGTCGTCTACTACAAAGTGGATTATTTGCTTGACCCGAAGGGTTCGTTGAATTGTCTTTTTTGGGTTGAATTATTTTAGTGATCGACGTTATGGTTTTGTTGATTGTTTTGCAAAATGAGTTATTTATTTGATTGATTGGTGGTAGTTGTTGAGAAGAATTAAGATGGAAAGAGGAAGGAGTTTTGGTTTGGGTTTACGGATAGATAACGTGAATTGAGGTGATGGATTATTCAGGATTAGGGAAGTTAACAGGAAGGGATTATGTCAGTTGTGGTTTTTAGCTGTGAATTGTGCAGGAATGTATAGATGAGATGTGGTATGGGATAGCTTTTTTTAAAGTTAACATTTGAATGGCCTTCATAGGGGGAATTTTTAATTATTTATTGTTGTTTTGACATAAAGTGCGTCGTAGTTGATTTAAGAAGTAACCGAATGAAGAGTGCATTTGAGTGATTGGGATGGATTCAGGGTAGATATTTCATTTGATGTGATTTTATTTCGTTTTGTTTTAGGATCCAATTACTGGCGTAATCGTGTACTGAAAGTGGCAAAAGAATTCAAACGTAAGGCGCACTTCGCAGTCAGCAACAAAGAGGAATTCGCTGCGGTAGGTTTTTAGTCATTCAGGATGCTTCCGTTTTATTTTGTAAATTATTTGCATTTTGCAGGTTTTTGTTTCCGTTTGATATTGAAACGAAACTTTGATTTATCTTACAGTGAATGAGTTTTCATTTTCCGGAAGTAATTAGAGAGTGCGTTTTAGGTGGCGAGTTTATTTTTGGGTGTTTTTTGTTACTGATTAAAGTGCAGGAGTGGAATTGATTAGTGAGGAATTAGGGGCGTGTAGAAGGAAATGATTAAGGTAGAGATTAATTGAGTATTGATGGTGATTGAATAGGTGAAATTGAAGGGGTCAGATTC